AATAAAGAAAACTGTTCTATTTAGGACCATGAGTTCTATATAGAACCATTTGCATGCTTAAATGGTTCTCTGCATGGTGAAACGGTTCTTCAGATTGATTGAGAATGTGTTGTGCATGATTCTATATAGACCCATAAAGGGTTCTGCTACTGTTACAAGCCTGACTTTGTAAACAATAGTAGAACAATAGTAGTAAACAATAGTAGTTTTAGGTGCCAAAATGGTTCTGTGCATGGTGGAAAGGTTCTTTAGATTGATGGAGAATGTATGGTATATGGTTCCGTACTGCCCCTTTTTAAAAATGGTTCTATGAAGCACCCAAAAGGGCTCTGTTGTTACAGTCTTGACACCGTAATAATAGCAGAACACTTTTTGGTGCTGTACAGAACCATATAAAACACACTCTTCATCAGTCTGAAGAACCACTTCACCATGCAAAGAACCATTTAAGCATGCAAAGGGTTCTATATAGAATGTATGGTTCTAAACAGAACCATTTCCTTAGTTAAAGAACCCTTGAAGAACCAGTATATAAACCCTGCTAAAAACATCATAGTGACCGTTAAAAGGTTCTGCTGGTGTCCAGTCTCTAATGGTGCTCTGTGTTTTCCTGATGGGTTGATATCACAGATCTAATGATCTAGACGCATCTGATGGTTCCTAATGGGATCTAAAGGTGTCCTACAGGAGGCTAGTGGATCCCTAATGGTAATCATTAAGCCAATTCCAAGTAGGAAGCAAAACCATCAGGTTTTAATGGTCTATTTATTTATGAGTCCGCAGATCAGCAGCGCGCGCTCCCCTCTCTCTCTTTGATACTGTTCATCGAGTTTTGTATTTGTTTTGGTTTTTGTTCCTCGCGGAAGTAATACTCCAGAGAGCGCGCGCGTGCTGTAAAAACACCCATGAGCTCGTGGTGGGCGTTCACGCGCATGTTCGACTCAACGTGACTCCGCACGTGCTCACAACAGCAGGACAAATCCACCACGTGACCGGCAAGAGCGGGCACAGGCATTGGCTGCGCACCGGCCAACCACAGAGCACGGATTATAATATGGGCGGGGCTACGATCTGTGCTCACATTCCGCTCACTGCACTGAGAACAACGTGATACTAAATATTCACTGTTTATTCAAAGATAGAACGAAGATATGAAGTGATATGTTTTCAAAATACAGTACAAATCACAGCAGCCTTCATCTCTCCGCGCTGCACTGTCATTCCTGGAAGAAGAGTTATGTATTGATAATATATTACAGATATAAAGTAAAATGTATAGTTAAATGTTTAAATACACCCCCCTAAAGCTTTAACCATGATATAATAAAACAAATAAAACAATAATAAAAATGTGTCTATTTGAAGTACTGCTGTTTCTGCTCCTTACACTTCTTCTGTTTATTATTATTATTATTACTATTATTATTATTATTAATAAGACCAATTTAATTGGTACATTGCCAAATGTCTTTGTGGTGAGTTACGTAAATTTAGTCTAAAATAATCAAAGGCCTACGCACTTAAAAAATATGGTTCTTCAAGGGTTCTTTAGTAAAGGAAAAGGTTCTATATGGAACCATGAACACTCAAAGAACCCTTTGCATGATTAAAGGGTTCTTTGCATGGTGAAAGGGTTCTCCAGACTCATGGAGAACGTGCTCTTTGTAGCACCAAAAATGGTTCTTCTACTTTTACAGTGTCAAGCTTGTAACAATAGAGGAACCCTTTTTGGTGCTACACAGAACCATTTTCAAAAAGGTTCTATATAGAACCATACACAACACGTTCTCCATCAATCTGGAGAACACTTTTACCATGCAAAGAACCATTTAAGCATGTTCTAATAATCTAGTAATTCTGACACATTTCTGCACATTTCAGTGCATCATTACTGTCATGGCACATCTTATATTTTGTGTTTTATTATTATTTTTTTTTAATTATTTTTGTTATTTCCAATATGTTACAGAGAAGATAATCAACAAAACATGGAATTTGCTCAGGGGTGCTTAAAATTGTGCATTTGACTGTATGTACTGCGTATAATCAGCGGTGAGGTGTTTTAGAGGAAAGCTGAGTTGTGTTGTAACCGTCTAATTAGCGTTTAGTAATTGTTCCCAGCAACAACGTCCGGACGAGTCCTGACGGTGAGTAAAATGCTGAGTAACTCCTTTAATCGCTTTAATCTGAGTCATGTCACTCACGTCACGGCTGACGGGAATCCACACGTCCACTCACACAGGAGCGCCACGGTCACTCTTACAGCTACATCAGTGAATGATGTGAATAAATACAGACCTCTTTGAAGTCTTTTATTTGAGGAAACCTCAATGTGTGCTTCTCTAAAAGTGCTATATGAATGAAAGCAGGTCCTTAAAGGGTCATTCTGGCCTAAAATTAGAGTTATTATTCCCCTCAGCATCAATAGTTTGGCAGAATTCCTGATTTTTGTATCCTTTTTATCCGATTTTTATCCAAGGCCCTACGCTGAAGCTCTGTTTGTGGACTTGTGCTCAGCTTTCAACACCACACTGCCAGACCTGCTGCACTCTGGAGGCTGTCTGTGCCAGATCCCATCTGCTGGTGGATCATGGGCTTCCTGACAAACAGGGAACAGCAGGTGTGGCTAGGAAAACACATGTCAGACCCCCAGACCCTCAGCGCTGGAGTACCACAACTGCAGTGCATAATCAGGACAGTGGAGATGATCACTGGAGCAGAGTGACGAAGCAGAGTGATGTCAGCAAAATCACAGCTGACCCCTCTCATCCTGGACATCACCTCTTCCAGACACGCCCCTCTGGTAGAAGATTCGGGACCATCTAAACCAGCACAGCCAGACATGCTAACAGCTTTTAACACAGAGTTCTCAAAGAATGCTGAATAGAATTACATGAAGTCATAAAAGCTGATCTTAGATCAGTGCTCTTACATAAAAATGGGCCACTGTCTTTACTAAAGAACCCTTGTAGAACCATCTTTCAAAGAATGTACAACATAAATGTACATTTAATAAAAAAACACTATAATAAATATGGATCGGGGCCTTGCCGTGGCGGAGGGGCTCGTGCGGTCTAGGGGTCTCAGAGCTAAGTCGTCTGGAGCAGGATGCTCCTGGGAAGGTCTCCCAAGGCGAGCAGGTCAGGAGTGAAGACCCAGACTAACTCGATCCAAAATCCTCCATGACTAAGTGGCACGGTAAGTCGTGTACCCTGCCTGGGAGAGGGTTACCGGGACCTACGCCTGGAACCAGGCCTGGGGGTGGTGTTCCTCAGCGAGCGCCTGGTGGCCGGGCAGCCCACGTATCCTGGCCCGAATGGCAACATGGGGGGATCATGTGAGGCCTCCACTCACCAGGTCCAGCATGGGGGACCACTGCAGTGCTGTATAGGCAGTGGGAGATAGCAGGGAGGCCCTTGGTGGCATGGACCCCTGCAGCGGAAACTGGCTCTTGGTACTCTTGGGGGGGGAGGAGCCGGAGCTTGTCCGGGAGGTTGAGAGGTACCAACCAGACATAGCTGGGACTCACATCCACCCACAGTGTCAGCTCTGGAACCAAACGCCTCCATAGGGGTTGGTCCCTCTTTTACTCAGGAGTTGCACAGGGTGAGAGGCGCCGGACGGGTGTGGGGATACTCACGAGTCCCCGACTGGCTGCCGTGCAGTTGGAGTTTGTCCCAGTGGATGAGAGGTAAACCACAGGCCTGAGTAAAAAGGAAGTTCTCTTATAAAAGCAGGCCTAATGCCTTTAGGAACAGCTTCAGGCCTCTGTGTTGTGTAACACGCTGATAATTACCAGAATCTCCAGCTGTGTATCAGTGACTGTAACCCATTTATCTTCTGAAAGCACCTCTCGCTCAGCCGTTTCCTCTGAGAGTCCGGGATATGCGGGCCTCTGTGACAGGTTAAACCTGTACAAAGCAGGACTAACTCTCTAGTTTTGCATATGAATCACTCCAGCACTGGGGGTCCAGCCTGGCTGCACATTATGAGTAATATATCCTTCCTCTCTGTAACATGAGCACGTTAAGCCTACATACGACAATAATGCGTACGAGACTGCTTACATAATCCACCTGCACTCTCTATACATCTCTTTTATTCACATTTATGGAACCTTTTTCACAGCCTGAGAGATTCAGAAATCACTGTTTTAAAAGTTGGACTTCAGTGGCACGATCTGAACAAAAGAAATGCCTTTTGTTGTTATTGTGCAGCCTTTCTCGGTGCCCTCCCACACGAATCCCCCTTGTTTTACAGTCTCCACTAGGGGGTGCGTTCCAATATGCACACTTGTGTACTAGCTAGGGCGGCAAACAAGTGCGTATAGTTCTGGTTGCTCTTTAGGCCAGCAAGGCAAAACAAAGTACAACACGATTGCAAATCTGAAGGTTAAACGTTGGTGTGCCAACATTTAGCTCACTTAGCTCACTGGCTAGACTTTAAGCATTTCAATTCGACACATGAAGTAGATAAATAAACAGGTTGTTACAGTTTTTTAAGGGAAACTATGACACTGGCAAACGTGTAATCAGTCTTTAGTGCACTGTGGACTAAATGAACGCTAACAACATGGTTAGCATTTATCTGAAAATATATATCATGACTATTCTAATTGTTTATTTGGCTGAAAAAATACAGCCAAATGGGTTGGAAATGATCAAAAATCATCATCTTGATCATCCATTCTCCACAAATCCAAGCCAATCTCCTGTTACAAGGCTTTGCTAGCAAGCTGGCTAATTCCTCATCATCAATCATACAGTTTTTAGTGTTGGTATTTTATCATAGTTGTCGCAACATCGGGCTGTTAAGTCTTAACTATTTCGATTCTGAGTGGTTTCAGTCTAAAATGATCAAAACAAAACACAAAAACACAAAAAACAACGATACCCGTCTATGCACCCTAGTTAGGGCACAAGGGAGCATATTGGAGCACAGCCGCGAGTGACGTCGCCCCTCACGTTTCCACCATTCGACCAATCAGGCTTCGATCTAGCCGTACGTCGGCGGAGCGTTAATGGTAGAAAACGAAGAGCGAAGAGGAGCAAGAAGGATCGGTTCATCTGTGAAAATCCGTCTTCATCCTCTGTTTAAACGGCGGCTTTTTAACACGAAACCACCCAGAACACAAACTTCACACTTTAAACTTCCCAACGAGCCCGATATTGCGGCGGTATCGCGTTCGGTATGTTAGAAAACGAATGGTGAAAACTGGGTGATTGCTGGAGGAGAATTAGCCGGCTAGCTAGCGGGAGACTGGCTGAGGGCTGAGGGCGAACAGACGGACTGCGTTGACTTTTTTGCTCATTTTTTCAGCGTTTTCCCTCATTTGTTCGCGTTTTTAAATCGAAATCGTCGTCCGGATACATTCAGAAACGCACTGCTGTTGGAGCTAGCCACACTGCTAGCTGTTGTTTAGTCGTTTGCGATGGAGTTGAGAGTGGGGAACAGATACAGGCTGGGGAGGAAGATTGGCTCTGGATCTTTTGGAGACATTTACTTGGGTAAGTCCGATCTTCAGCATTTCTTAGATAAGACAGTTTAAGCGCCGACTGTCCCTTTATTTACCCAGGTCGACATTTGTGACGGCTAGCTGACGTTTTCCAGTCTTCCCAGTGAGCTATTCCACAGCTTCGTGTTCGAATTTTCCCGTTCCACCTTAAATGGCGCAGCAGTTACGCTGCTGATGGAGGTGTAACATTACTGGTACTCGAGATTTTTGGGTTTAAAACTAAACCCCAGCGAACTGTCAACCCGTATCGAGTTACATTTCGGATGTCAAGCAGCCAAAAAAGCTGTGATAATCGAAATGTAGCTTAACTGCTGCACAATTTAAGGTGGAACGGGGAAATTCGAACAGGAAGCCAACTTCAGCCTCGTATTGACAAGGCGGTCTGTACACCGATTTTCCTGATCTTATTTTTAATTTACAGTGACACGTCCTGCACGAAAAGACGATTTATTTAGCTGTAGGTCAGATAAACCAACATTTAACCCAGCTGGTCAGTCATTTGTAGACAGTGTTAGCTTGTTAGCTGCTGCTAGGAGATCATTCTGCTCGTTTTACAAAGCAGCTGGGGCCTTTTTTTAACCAAAGTGATCGATTATCACAGCTTTTTGTCTGCCTGACATTCAGAATGCAACTCTACACTGAATGACAGTTAGCTGGGGTTTAGTTTTAACCCAAAAACCTCGAATACCTGCAGTGTTACATCTACATTAGCTTAGAAATGATGGTTCTTCAAGGATCCTTCGGTAAATGGACCATTAATTCTATATAGAACCGTATAAAACATCAATTCGAAGAACCAGTTAAACGTGCAAAGAACATTTAAGCATGCAGATGGTTCATTTTTGGTTCTATGTAGCACAAAAAAGTCTTAGCCTCAAGCTTGTAACAATAGCAGAACCCTTTTTGGTGCTATATAGACCCCTTTTCAGTGAGGTTGCATATGAAATCATACACAACACATTCAACGCCAATCAGAAGAACCAGTTTACTATGTCAAGAACCATATAAGCATGCAAATGAGCGTTCATGGTTCTATATAGAACTGTCGTCTTTACTAAAGAACCCTTGAATAGCCATCTTAGTACGAGAGTATTGAATGGCAGTAGATTATAATTCATTGTCTGTGAAATTGTGGCTGCCCACAGACTATAATCTAGATAGCTTTATTTATACCAAGATAAAATGCATCTAGAGGCCGATTATGGGTTCTAAGGTCCTGTGTCTGGGGATTATTTGTACACTTTATGACCTAAAATGATTATACGCATCATAGGGGTGGGCGATTTGGCAAAAATATATCACAATATTTCAAGACGTGTTCATAATACACAATATGCATTATGATATTTATTTTTTCTGAGATTCAAAAAGTTGGACCAGACAAAATGGAGCCTGTATTGCCACATGAACAAACAGTACTATCACTAATAATACTAATAATAAATCTACAACCGTAATCATTTTTATTTAATACTTTAGAAGCTTCACTAAATCCAATTAAACAGGCTTAATTACGCTAATTTAGTTATGAATCATGTATGTAGTCTTGATATCCACAATATGCACAGTAAAGCATATTGTAGTGTAATTTATCACGATAATGATAACGTTGTTATACTGCCCACCCCTACTTTATCATTCCTACACCATTATCTATTTATTATTGCTGAAATAGATTTAGCTGTAATCCTTATTCGTCAATTAATGCTCAGACAGATAAGACGGTGATGGGGAAATGTGATGCATCATTAATGAATAAGAGGCGATTATAGGGATTGATGCACAGATTGTTTTGAAAAGCAAAATCGATTGTAGAAATGTAACTAACTTGTTATTACAGACATGAAAATTACATGTTACTGGAACATTTTGTGCAGACTGTCACCTGGGAATTTACAGATCGTTATCTTCCACGCTGGCTGATGAGCTCGTCTCTCACAGAACCTGGTCTCAGTGTTCATGGCAGGTCTGATAATGTAGTCAGATGTCTTTTAAACACAGCGCTGTAAATGTAGTTTATAGTCTACTCTGGCTGTGTTTTAGGGGTGTTTTCACACTAGAGCTTTTTTCAGACCCGGGACTGTTTGCTCTGCCAGCTCGGTACGTTTGGTCGAATGTGAAAGCAGTTTTCGAGCCTGGAAGCGGAACAGAGAACCGTTCTCTGGTCCTCCTGAAATCGGTGGGCTGGGATTTGTATTCCAGTGAGCTTTGGTGTGGCCCGCTGAGTGCGGAGAAGCTGTTCGCACCTGGTGCCGCGTGATTGGTTTATTTTGTGATGCGACTGCTTCGACTTGCGTCACAAGTTTCGTGATGACGATGAAATGCCATGTATCCAAAAAGCGCTGCTCTTCACTGCTTTAGTGTTTGTATCCAAGGAAAATGGTAAAAAGCAGCAAACGGGTGAAGCCTTGCTGACCGTTCTGCGGACCTGCATGCGGAAAAGTGACGTATTTAATTGAGCGATCGTTCCACAATTTGGACTGAATTCCTGTGTGTGAAAGCAAACCAGCAATAAGGTAATAATACGATAATAAGCCCCTCCCCCAAACGAGCCCGGAATCAGTCCTGGCTTCTTAAGTATTCAGGAAAAATGTAAAAACACCCTAAAGCCGCTTTTCCACTACATGGTACCGACTCGACTCCACATGGTATCGGCTACTTCGCTTTCCACCACAGATACAGACCCTTATCTGACAGCTGGTCGTCATAGCGACACCAAACAAAACTGCCGAGATATGAAGGAGGCAGATTTTGTTCAGGAGAGGCTGATTAGCAAGACAAAAGACTGCTGACCAAAACAGGAGAGTTTGTGAAAAACTAGAGTTCAGACGACGAGACGGTCCTGTCTGCTCAGGGCGACGCAAGAGGCTGAGCTAACCTGGTAGCTAATGTTAGCATGTGTGCTTAGCGATTCTCGCTGGACGATTAATCGAAATTAATCGTATCACGTGACTCCGCCACGTCCAGTCTGCAACATGGAAGCTAAAGCTATGTTCATGCAGCAGGTGAAAGTGGCCCAAATCTGATTTTCTCACCAAATCTGATTTTTGTTGTTTTGTCTGTGCAGATTATCTTTAAATGTGATCTGTATCATCAGTCTGAACAGATCAGCTCCTAAACTGTGCCGCATGTGTAAAAGAACAGAGGGTCACGCTGCTTCACGGCTCATCCAGAGGTAAACAATCACGACCGCCAACGAACGCCAGTCGCTCCCGGAGGATCAGCTTCATCTTCACCAGCATCACAAGAGCGTCATGAAGCTTCACTGACTGACAGCCGGGCTCATCACCCAGAATGAGTTCGAGCCGTAAAAAGGGCGCGGTCACTTCTTTGGTCTGCAGCCTCGTTCTCGTGCGGCCGCGTTCGGACATTTCTTTAGAAATCTCTTCAAGCACAGAGCAGTTTGGATGAGTCTCTAATTTTTGTACAGAAACATCAGCCCAGATGTTTTAGGTTTCAGCAGCACGAAATTACGACGAATGTCGAGTTGGATTGACGTAAAAGTCGCATGAATTCCGATCTGGCTGTTGAGACCATTTACATTAAGATATGCAGAGCAAATTTACAGTATAGACCTTTTCACTGAACTGTGAGTGCAAAAAACAAACAAACAATAATCGTTTATTAATCGTAATCGAGTACAGTGTTCAATTAATCGTGATGTTGATTGGAGGTCATATCGCCCAGCACTAGTCTGTAGCCTTTTTACATCACGTTTCGGTATTGGCTCAGCTCGCCTGGAACCTCAACAAGAAATGGTACCAAAAAAGTACAGGGTACCCCACAAGTACTTGGTACAAACCTTTGTCTAATGGAATACCAAGCTGAGTCGATCCGTAAGAGATGCTGCTGAAGATGCTGCTGCCCATTTGCTTCTTTTATAAGTGAGTTTTTTGAGACTGTGGGTTTTCTTGGTTCTGGGAAACGTGTCAGAATGATAGTCAGTGCTAATCAATAGTGCGATGCAGAACGAATACGGGCTCGGTTGTGAAATGCTGAAGTATTCCTTTAATCACGTTATTTGGCGAGTGACAGTTTATCTTTGCATGCAGGTCTCGTTGTTCCTGTTGTCAACATTCACTGATGATGACACAGTATTTACTCTCGTCACTGGCGGCCGTAGGCCATGGAGTATCGTTGCAGGCAGCTGCTCTTTTCAGATGAACTCGCTTCACCCCCAGTGTGTGCGATTTGTATTGTTCTGGAGTTAAGAACGTTTAATGCCATTTTCAGCTCATGTATTTTAGTTTTTTGTTGTTTTTTGTGCAGGTCCACGCAGCAGGAACATTGCAGCCCAGTTTCTGCACAACTTTCTCATTTTTCCTTTTTCATGTGGTCACTGGGGCTGTTAGTGATGAGGTCATTCCTGGCCAGTGCTCTGTTTGTGTGATTTGAGGAGATTTTTGCGGAACGGCGGTATGTTCAGTTAAAAAAACCTCATCCAGCCTTCTGTACTCGTTTCCAAGAACGTCATAAACATCGGTGCCAAAGAACAGTCGCGAGGTTCGCGCTGTTAAGCTGCTCTCTGCACTGTTGCAGGGTTGCTCAATACTGTTAAAGGGCCCGTATCCTGGAAAACTGAGTTTTCCTTTCTTGACTGAGTTTGACTTGGTATGTAAACATAAGTTTAGATATGTACTGTTCAAACCCCCAGTCCATATACACTGATCAGGCATAACATTCTGACCACCTCCTTGTTTCTACACTCATTGTCCATTTTATCAGCTCCACTTACTATATAGGTGCACTTTGTAGTTCTACAGTTACAGACTGTAGTCCATCTGTTTCTCTGATACTTTGTTAGCCCCCTTTTACCCTGTTCTTCAGTGGTCAGGACCCCCATGGACCCTCACAGAGCAGGTGCTATTTGGGTGGTGGATCATTCTCAGCACTGCAGTAACACTGACATGGTGGTGGTGTGTTAGTGTGTGTTGCGCTGGTATGAGTGGATCAGACACAGCAGTGCTGCTGGAGTTTTTAAACACTGTGTCC